AAGCTTGCTTCTGACTTTGTGGACGGAGTGTAATCAGAGAGAATAAGTTAGAGGCTCAATGTGAACTTTATGCAAAAAGCTTGCTTTACAAGAATGGCAATGTTACTTTGTGCCATTAATGGAAATGCAACTTGGATAATAGCTCAAATGCTTGGATCAAAGCTCTAACAGCTGTGTAAACATTTAATTATGGAGTGACAAATAAGTTTGAGGCCTGCAAAGTAAATATTATGCAGCCTAGCATGGATTTGGTTCATGTGTACATCAAAAATGACTTGTAATTCAAGTGGCAAAACCCTAACTTCATCTCTTCGATTCTCCCTACTCAAGAATGATCTCAAGGAGTTCTTGGACATTTTGGAAAGCTTGAAATATTCTATACAACCCATATTTGAATTGCTTTTGAATATTCCCCTTGGAACTATATGAAAAAGTGCCATGAAGTTAGGTCAAAATCCTGGCCAAATTAGGACAAAATTTCACTAAGTGTTTAGTTTCATGGCCTCATGTTCATAAAATTGTAACTTAAGATCCAAGCATTTTTGGAAGAAGTTGTGTGAAGAAAAGTTGTATATTTCATGGATATCTACAAATTTCATGTTGGAAGTTTATCTTGAATAATCTTGCATCATGGTGAAAATTTGGCTCAAAGTTATGAAAAAACATGAAATTTCCAACATTTTTCTAAGTTTAGAAATTTTGACTTTTCAAAAATGAAATCTTGACTTTTTGATTTCTTGATGAATAAGTTTCATATTTTGACATGTTTTGATGAATTTTGATCTTTGGTACTTGAATTTGACCAAAAAGTTAAAGTTTGACTTTTCAGTATACAATTGACTTTTGATCAGTTGACTGCAAAATTCATCTGTCAATCCAATGGACTTGCAATGTTTTGAACCATGTCATTAGTTAAAAATGATGAAATTGTACTCTTGAGATCATGCCTTAAACCAATTGACCATTTTCTAGGGCAAAAACCAGAAATTGCCCTTTCCTAGTCAAAACCCTAATTTTGACCATTTTTCCCTTTTGGAGATTTGATCAAATTTCTTGAGGAGTTGTGGTCAAAACTTGATCAAATGACACATATGAGTTTAAAATGTTTACGTGGGTAAAAAATTATGAAGTTTGATTGTAAATTGGCCATAGTTGACTTTTTCCCTAATACAGTTGATTTTTAGGTCCACTACTCAATTGACTGATCAAAAGTGTGATCCAAGGCTTGAAACTTGGCATGAGTAATCTTGGGGGTCCATAACGATCCATTAAAGTCATATGAAGCATTGTAAGTTCAAAAATCCTTGTGCGATCTCAAACCCTAATTTTGGTCATCAGTGCATAAGGAGGTGTCTTGAGCTGATCAAACCCTAATGCAGTCTTGAGCCCAAGGAGATCTTGTGAGAAACTTCTTGATAAGTGGGAGGGAAAATTTTGGGGTACAACAGGTTGCAAGTGATTTTTTTTTAATTTTGTTTTTGCATCTTGTGGAACCACCCTTCCCCTCCTCCGTAGTGAGGCGTTGTGAGTTCCCATCTATATCTTGTACTACAATAGTGAAGTCACTGTTTGGTTCAAGTGTGGGGGGAGGGGTTTATTGATTTTATTGCTTTTGTTATTATTTTTGTTAGTTTTGATTGCATTTTTATTCCTTTTCGTTGTGTTGTTATCGTGGTGTCTTGTTGTGTCGCGTAGTACAGGATCATTAATATTTGTCAAGATAAGACACGGATATTGGTGATAGTGGATGAAGAGATCAATCCACATACTGTTGCATGTTATTAGAAGACACCCAAAATTTGATACCACTGAATAAATGATCGGATGCAACTGTCAAGAGCCAACCACCCAAGGAATCCTGTATGCCCCTTTTTGAGTGGGAAGTTACATCACACTAGAGGCATTATGGAAGCTGTCAGCTTTACCCGACAGGGTGAGAGCATAAAAATTCAAACACATAACTGTCATCATGAGAGCTTAATCAGGTATGTCTTTATCATTTTGATTTTGCATACGGTCTATTTGAATATCACTACATAATGACACACATTGAGGAATGTTGTTTCTTTTTACCTCTGAGCCTTTCTAGCTATCCCATTCGTTTTATTATCCTTTGTTAACCCCATTGAGCATATAGCCTTTTATTTGTGCATTACTGCACATGTTAACCCTTAGCCCAAAATTTGTCCACTACCCTTGCTCAGTTAGGTGTTATGTATCTCGGAGCTGTAAAAGTTTTAAGTTTGGGGTTGATACACCGATGATAAACTAGGTAAGTGCAACCAAAGAAAAGAGAATTGAAAAAAAGTGATATGAAAATTGAATGCTGGAAAGAAAAATGCACTTACCTAAAGATTAGACTAGGTTTAGCAAACAAAGATCCATACTCAAAGGAATAGTTGAGTCGAAACCAAGAAGGCAAACTAGAAAGGTGTATGAGATGTCCCATGTGATAAACATAACGAAAAGGATGATAACACCGAGCTGAGCCAAAAACCCTTTGTTTTTCCCAATTTTCTTGTTTACCCCACCGTACCCTAAGCCCCATTTCAACCCAAAGACCTCAAAAAGTGTGTGGAATATGCAGGTGAAATGATTTTAGAGTTTATTCAAACTTAAGAGTTGATATTGCATACTTTGAATTGTGAGCGAAAGAACTTTAACCCTGAGAGACTTGGTGAGATTGTGATATAAGTTGACAGGTGAAGTAGTGCTTTGATGTGGAAGTATGGTTGAACACTTGGTTTGGGGAAGCGGAGAACTTGAGAAGGAAAACGAAAGCAAGTTGCAAAAGATCTCGGCGACATTATGGTAAGTTGATAAATTGTTGGTGCCTGATTCTCTGTTTCCTTAATATTGCTTGAGGACAAGCAACCAGATAAGTTCAGGGTTGTGATCGGTCAACATTTCCACTATATTTATGTGTCTTGTCCGACGATAATGCAGGTATTTTGCATCGCTTTGTGTCATATTATGTTATTGTTTGAGTCGTTTTGATGTTTATTTAGTCTTTGTAGTATTTTAGGATATCTAGTTTATTTAGAGTATTTGTACGTATTAGCTTTGGTTTGTTGTTGTAACTGTTTCAAATTTAGATGAAAGACTCAAGGTACTCGGTGCGATAGAGTCAAGAAATTAGAAGTTTCGAAAAGTAAAAATTGAAGTTTCAGCAGGCCTGACATGGCCACCCGTGTCACTTGACACGGGCCGTGTCAGGAGGGAAGTTATGGAACATGAAGAAACTCAGGGGGATGACACGGCCACCCGTGTCACCTGACATGGGCCATGTTAGTAGATGTGATGATTTAATGTTTATGAAGCTTCAGGATGGCCAACACGGCTACCCGTGTCAACTGACACGGGCCGTGTTGGCATATGCTCTGATTTTCAGTAAGTTCGTGATTTTTCATTAGTTCTGATCCGAAAGGGAAATTTTGAGTTTTCAAACCGAAATCAAGGGTTTTGTACTATTTGAGACAGTTTCTATGACAAAAGAAGGTACTTTTTTCCGCACAAAGAATTGAGGATTAAAGATTGAAGCCTACACAAGTATAGGAGAACGGAGACCTTTCATGAGCGGAAGCGATTGAAGATCAAAGTTCACCATCTATTTGTAATGTTTAATTTTTATTCTGAAATTACTTTGAACAATATGAGTAGCTAAACCCTCTGATCCCTGATTTGCAATTGTAATGATGTTGAATGCTTGATTTTAATACAATAGTTTCTTTTCAATTAATCGTTCAATGTTCTTATGTTTTTCTATCGGAAAAATAAGGATTGACTCACAGTTAACAATTAGGATTGTACCGTCATTGTTAAGGTTCTTGTACGATTAGGCTATAGTAGATATCACATAGGACTGGAGATACCCTATAGTTACCAGATAACTCTTGATAAAACAAAGACTTGACTCCATCAAAAATCTCTAAGGACTTAGGATTTAGGATGAAGGTTCAAAGGTTTTCTCACTAAGGACTTAGGGGAAAATAATCTAAAGGGCTGATAATTAAAGGTTATGAACTTGTTGAAGAAATCAAGAGTCAAGGTTATTACAGGGTAAATCACACACTTTACCCTAGCATGTTGCTCATAATTGTGAAAAAGTCATATTTTCCATTCTGCTTAGTTTTGTTATTGTTAAGATAAAATTTCACAACCAAAACCCCAAATCAAGTTTTGTTTAATTGAACTACGAATTTAACTCGATAATTACATGCAGTCCTTGAAATCGACATTCGGAGAATCTTCCTATTATTACAAGAGGCAAAAATAGTACACTTGCTATTTTTCCCATCAATATACATTAAATGTCTAATATGTGTGTTAGAGTATATCAAAATAAAGGGTGTCGGTCATAAGTAAAATATATTATTTCCGAGCCAATCGGTTAGATCTGACCCATTAAATTGAACAAGCCCGGACTTGCTTCACTGAATGACTTAAAACTAGGAAGGAATCTCTCTAGTTTGATCCGATCCAACTTTACTAGATTGTACTATATATTTATAACAAGTCAATATAATAAATAAAAATTCAAGTTAATAAAAATAATATAAGTAATATGGCATGTTATTAAATGATTATACGTAACACAATACATAAGTGTCGGTTAACTTAAATTAATAATAATAATTAAAATAATAACGGAAACTATTTAGGAATACTTATAGAAACAAATTTAAGAAAATAATATTTTTAGTGATAAGAAAAAAGTGATAACATAACGGTTTAAAAAAAAATTAAAAACAAACCTTGAAATATTTTTAAGAGAAAAGTTATTCAATCCTCGTTTATATTCAAACGTAGGTTAGAAGTCAGTCAAAAAAGAGGTTATAGTTTCCAGCATTATCGCATATACCTCACTAGTCCTTGTAAGAGCTGTTACATCTCCTTGAGAGAAGGAACCGTAGAACTAGAATCGACGCTCTTCTCTTTTAGATATACACATTGCTTCAATTCAAAATCTGTTTTGCAGGATCTAAAGTAAAGAATTCCTTATGCCTAATATGAAGGTGATAATATTTCTTGGAATGTTCCAAATGATTATTTCATGTGCTCAAGCCATATCAAAACAAGATTTCATAGAGAGTTTCACTTTAGAAGAAAGAAGCCTAATCCAAAACAATGAACAACCACGTGAGCTTAATGTTACAACTACAAGATATCCAATGGGAGGAGGTAGAAGGCTAGCACGATTTGGAGGTGGACGAGGAGGTGGAATGGGAGGAGGAAGAATGGGAGGCGGAATGGGAGGAGGGATGGGAAAAGGTGGTATGGGAGGAGGAGGAGGAGGAAAGGGTGGAGGTGGTAAGGGAGGAAAGGGTGGAGGAAGGGCAGGTGCAGCTGCGGGAGGAGCGGCAGCTGGAATGTTCGGAGGTGGACTTATTTGGGGAGGAATTGCCAATCGCAATAACATTAACAGGAACAATGGTTCTTCTAGTTCTGCAACAACGTTATCTGCTGGGACTCATTTTTCTGTGTCAACATTGATTTTATGTGTGAGCTTTTGGATTTGATCACACTTGCACTAATTAAGTATCATGTTTAGTTTCTTCTGCTTAGGACTATATTAATCCTCTTTTGGCCGCAATCAATATCATGTTTTCTTGATGATTAGTTTGTAAATGCAGTATGAATAGATAGATATATGAATCTTTGCAAACTAGGGCCAAAACTAGACACAAAACAACCAACCACTAAATAAAGCTTTTCTGGTAGTGCACAAAAAGTTACTTGTTGATACCACAAACATGCACGTAGTTGGGTTTCTTTTTGGAGCTTGTTCCAATATCAACAAGTGATGCTTGAAGTCTTTTACCAATGACGTCATGGAAGATGGTATATTCACAACCCCACTCATATATCTCAAGTGCACCAGGATACATTATTAAAGTTGTTTTGTAAGATTTCTTGGGCTAAAGATAATTCATATTTGTGTTTGTAAGTAGCCAAATTCAAGTTTTGATAATCAATGCAACGTGCTTTAAATAAACTTTCAATCAAGTTTGATTTGGGGCATCAACCGTGGATTAATTAACCCTTTTAGGACTTGTTTGAGTGGCTTATATCCTTCATTACATGATTATCCCACACAAAGGAATTCTTGTAGAATTTGACCAGGTTTAACAGTTGATGTGTCTCTACATCTGTTGATAAACCTACCAACTTTATCCAGTTTAGGTTTTTTTTTTTTTTTGTGTGTTCCTAGGTTGAATTCCAACAATATGGTATGATCTTACTTCATTGAGGCAGCCACCACATCGACCATGGCAATGCTTAATGCATTGGATTCAACAACCATGAAACTATATTCCTTCATATCAGTCGGAATCATATCCTGCATCTTTTTCTCCAACCTCTTCAAGGTGAGAAATGTCATAACATTGAGAATAACTCCCACGTCATCACTTTATACTTACTCCACTTTCAATGAATTTTCATTGAGAATTTGTGGTTCTTCCACTATAATTTTGAATTTTTTATTCAAAGTCTTTTAATACAACTACAAGATTCAAGATTGTGGGATTTTGGATCGAACTCTAGTTTGATCGAAGTATCTTCTGTAGTCGAAGACGGGTCTGTCGAAGATGCTTGTAAAATTAGGTTTTAGTGTTTAAACCCTAATTTGTTAAGTTAGCTTGATTATTAAGTTAGCTTGTATAATGGGCCTTGTGGAAAAAGCCCATTAGTTAGTATGTTAGGTTTTTTATAAATAGCATACTAGTCTCTCATCATTGCCAACACAGCAAATCCTAATTTAGGGTGAGAGGGTTATTTGTTATTCTTGTAAACTTGTAATCTTGTTTTCGAAGAGAAAGTAAAGAATAGCAGTTATAACCACTTATTGTGTTCTTCTTCTTCCTTGTTCTTTATTCTTCCCTTGTTCTATACTTTGTTATTGGCATTGAATTCACAACAAATTGGTGCGGTGAGCGTGGAGAAGATGCCTTCGACTAAGTATGAGATCGAAAAGTTCACCGGAGTGAATGATTTCGGTCTATGGCGCTTGAAGATGAAAGCCCTACTAGTTCAGCAGGGTTGTTTGGAAGCGTTGAAGGGAGCGACGGCGATGGACGCTGCGTTAACAGAAAGAGAGAAGACGGCCATGATCGAGAAAGCACACAGCGCAATTTTGTTGAGCCTTGGTGATAAGGTTCTTCGACAGGTATCAAAGGAGACGACGGCATCAGGGTTATGGGTAAAACTTGAAAGTTTGTATATGACCAAATCTCTGGTAAATCGACTCTACCTGAAGCAAGCTTTGTATTCATTCAAGATGATCGAAGACAAAGTGTTGGCTGAGCAGTTGGATATGTTCAACAAGCTGATTCTTGATCTTGAAAATATTGATGTAAAGATTGATGATGAAGATCAAGCGCTGTTATTATTGTGCGCTTTGCCCAGATCACATGCTCACTTCAAAGAAACCCTCTTGTATGGAAGAGAGTCCCTGACCTTTGAAGAAGTTCAATCAGCTTTGTACTCGAAGGACTTGAACGAACGTAAGGAGCATAAACCTTCGACGGTTGGTGAAGGTTTGGCTGTTAAAGGAAAATTCGACAAGAGGAAAGGTAAAAATCAGTCGAAGTCTTATAGTGGTGATGCATCTGGTATTAGATGCTATCACTGTAAGAAAGTAGGTCACACAAGAAAGGTGTGCCCTGAACGCCTGAAAGATCATGGAGGTAAGGATAATGGCAACGCAGCTATTGTCCAAGATGACTTCGAATCATCTGATGTTCTTGTGGTTTCAAGCAAAAACTCGTCGAAGGAATGGATTATGGATTCTGGATGCACTTGGCACATGACTCCAAACAAAGACTTGTTCGAGGAATTATGTGATCAAGATGGTGGATCTGTATTGCTGGGAAACAACAAAGCTTGCAAGATTGCAGGCGTTGGATCTGTGAGATTCAAGCTCCATGATGAGTCAATAAGATTGTTGACTGAAGTCAGGTATGTACCTGATTTGAAGAGAAATTTGATTTCTCTTGGTGAATTCGACAAGAAAGGATATGTGTTTCAAGGAGAGAAAAGTATCCTGAGAGTCATGAAAGGGTCGAAGGAAGTCTTGAGAGGCGTGAAGAAACAAGGCTTGTATACCCTTGAGGCTGAAGTTGTAAGTGGTTCGACAAATGTTGCATCCACGAAACCTTTGTCGAAGACAGAAATTTGGCACATGAGATTGGGCCATGTCAGTGAAAGGGGTCTGGTTGAATTAGGGAAACAAAATCTGCTTGGTGGAGATAAAGTCGAAAAGCTGAAGTTTTGTGAACCCTGTGTACTTGGAAAGTCCTGTAGAATGAAGTTCAACAAAGGCAAACAAAGAACACATGGATCCCTTGATTACATCCATGCTGATCTTTGGGGGCCTGCAAGGTGTCCATCACATTCAGGAGCAAAGTATTTTCTATCCATAGTAGATGACTATTCCAGAAAGTTATGGGTATTCATCCAGAAGACTAAGGATGAAACTTTTGAGAATTTCAAAAGTTGGAAGACTCTTGTCGAAAATCAAACTGGCAGAAAGGTAAAGAGGTTGAGAACCGACAATGGCCTTGAGTTTTGCAATGAGGCGTTCGACAGTTTTTGTGTTGCCTCTGGTATTGCAAGGCACAGAACTACCGCAGGTACTCCACAACAAAATGGTTTGGCTGAAAGGTTTAATCGAACTATTTTGGAGAGAGTTAGATGCATGTTGACTAGTGCGGGATTAAAGAAGGTGTTTTGGGCTGAGGCTGTTTCGACAGCAGCATATCTGATAAACAGATGTCCTTCGACAGCGTTAGATATGAAGACACCTGAAGAAGTTTGGTCGGGACATCCACCAGATCTCGACAAACTAAGAGTATTTGGCTGTGTAGCCTATGCTCACATTAGGCAAGACAAGGTCGAACCTAGAGCTCTGAAATGCATGTTTATGGGATACCCTGAAGGAGTGAAAGCTTATAGGCTATGGTGCCTAGAGCCAGGTCACAGGAGGTGTATCACCAGTCGAGATGTAGTTTTCAATGAAACTGAAATGGCTTTCAAGAAAACTGATGACGTTGACGAAGAGCTGGAACAGGTAGAGATTCCTGTTGAGGTGGAGCATGTTGATGCTGAAATGCGTATCCCAGATGAAGTCGAAGAAGAAACAGAAGATTCTGATGATGTTGAGGAAACTGTTGATGACTACCTATTGTCGAGAGATAGGCAAAGAAGGGTCATAAAACCACCTCAAAGACTTGGATATGCAGATCTTGTAGCTTATGCCTTAATCTCTGCAAGTGAAGTTCTAGACGAAGAACCTAGAGATTATAAGGAAGCTATAAGGAGTCGAATGAAGACTGAATGGCTAAAGGCCATGCATGATGAGATGAAATCTCTTCATGATAATCACACTTGGGAACTAATCAAGAAACCTGTTGGGGCAAGGTTAGTCAGCTGTAAGTGGATTTTCAAAGTTAAGGAAGGAATTGAAGGAGTAATGTCGAAGAGGTACAAGGCAAGATTAGTCGCAAGGGGTTTCACTCAGAAAGAAGGTGTCGACTTCAATGATGTATTTTCCCCTGTTGTGAAGCACAGATCCATCCGAATGTTGCTTGCCATGGTGGCTCAGTTCGACCTTGAACTGGAACAAATGGACGTGAAGACTGCGTTCTTGTATGGTGACTTAGATGAAACAATCCTGATGAGGCAACCTGAAGGGTATGTCGAAAAGGGGAAAGAAGATTATGTGTGCAAACTGAAGAAATCTTTATATGGACTTAAACAATCTCCTCGACAGTGGAATAAGAGATTCGACAAGTTCATGGAACACATAGGTTTCATCAGAAGTCAGTTGACCATTGTGTTTACTCCAGATTTCGACCTGAAAATTCATTTGTAATTTTGTTGCTTTATGTTGATGATATTCTGATAGCAAGCAACAATGTCGAAGATGTAATGAGGGCGAAGGCTGAACTCAATAAGGAGTTCGACATGAAGGATCTGGGAGCTGCATCTAGGATTCTTGGAATTGACATTCGAAGAGATAGAAAGCAGTCGAAACTATGCTTATCTCAAGAGGCATACCTTCGAAAGATTCTTGACAAGTTTGGTATGTCGAATTCAAAGCCTGTTGTGACTCCAACAAACCCTCAATTCAAGCTGAGTATTGATCAATGTCCCAGTACTGATGTTGAAAGAACCTATATGAATAGCATCCCATATGCTAATATAGTTGGTTCTTTGATGTATGCTATGGTCTGTACTAGACCCGACATAGCATATGCAGTAAGTCTCGTAAGCAGGTACATGGCGAATCCTGGAAAGGCTCACTGGCAAGCGTTAAAGTGGATTCTAAGGTACATAAATGGGTCTCTGAACAGAGTCTTAATTTATGGTGGAGCCTTGGGTGAAGATAGTAAAGCAGCAGTCGAAGGCTATGTTGACTCTGATTATGCTGGCTGTATGGATTCCAGAAAATCTATTTCTGGATATGTTTTCACTATGTTTGGTACAGCAATTAGTTGGAAAGCAACTCTTCAGAAGG